AAACACGAAGTGCTGAGGAAAACCACTCCGCTGGCTGACAGTTACTATAATGGCCTTGCTGGTTCTTCCCCTTCTCAGCCCTTATTGGGGACTAGCCATGCAATGTGAGCCTTGGTGTTAAAGCGATAGTTTGGCCAAAAAACATATTTTGACAGTTGACAAATGTGGGTCGATCAGCCGAGACATGTTTGGTGTCTGAATTTAGCTTCTTTTGATTTGCACTGGAGCTTAAGTAGCTAAAAACTGGAAGCTTCTAGCCACCTGATTAGCAGAGGGGAATTATCATGGCCTTCTAAGCCTTCAGAGAAGACCTAATGATTTCTGGGAACTAAAAAAATGCATGTCTGTAATTTTAGGTTTTATTCAATATAATCATACTTATATTTAAACTCTTTCAAAGTCTTACAACACTACTCTTGTTTCATTGTTACGTTTTGGTTGTAAACAAGGCATTTAAATGAGTTTAAAACAGAAAACTTGTTTAATCAGTATATTTGTGATATCTGGGTAGACACAGCTATGCTAGCCCCCCCCATTGGTTAGGACTTCAGGAGCTGGACTGAAGGATTTACACATTAGATTAACTACCAGCATAATTGGGAAGTGACATTGAGTTCCATTGGCTGGGACTATTTTTGCGACTAAAAACACCACTTGTGGAAGTCCTAGATATGTCACTGATTGACTGGTAACCTAATGCATTTCCATCAGATGTCAAATGGAAATCAGTGGTGGCAGCTATATGTCAGGGCTCTTTACTAAAAGAATCACTGCAAAACTGCTTAATACAAGATAAAAATACGGTAATATATCTGTTACAAACTTCAAATCACCATGGCATGTCTTTTTCAAGCTTCAAATGTGTTTAGTGTAGAACCAACCAAAAATGTTCATGTGCATTGTAGTTAGCTTTAGGCTCATGTACTACTAGAATCTCATAGGGATGCTAGCACTTATTTTACATTATTGTACAAGCGAGTTTTGACATTTATGGCCCAAACTGAAGGCCTAGCTGTAATTGTCAAGGTATGTCACCGCTGATTGTGCAAACTGCATATCTACATCCCACACTTGTCTCAATTTGTATTGAGTTGTTAAGTAATCTCAGATATATTATGTGGTTTCTGACACTGGATGACATGCTGTTTTCTATACGGATGGACAATAGTATGCATAGCCACATAGCTAAAAACATCAGTTGACATCTTGGAGCCTGAATTCTTTTTTTCTACTTTTGTTCATTTTTGTAGATAGCAGTATGTCATACAGTAATAAAAACCTCATATGCAAGCCTGAGATTACTTGACAACATGGTGCACTGCAGTTTAGGCATGCAACATGTTCTATTAATGGTTAACTACAATAGCCTCATATTTCCAGTGCAAAATAAGAGAAGCAAACTTCAGGCCCCCAACTTGGCTGATCAGCTACATGGGGTTGGGCTAATACTGTGTAAAACTGATGCTTTAATCTAGGCTGAACTGGAGACGAGTTTAACACAATGGGTACAGTGTGTAGTTATGCTGGAGAACGTTTCTCTGGCTGCTCTTTAAGCTTGACCTCATGGGCAGCCAGTGGCTCGGATCCTACTGCGAAGATAGATGGCTTGGAGATTGGATGACTTTCGGGTGCACTGCCCGAATGTAAAATCTGACCTATCACTGAGGAACGCAACAGGACAGCTGTGTTGATAATACATGTGTTGATATTACATGTAGGCCCGGCTGTGCCTGTTTGACTATTCAGCTATGCGCTGTATATATTTTGCTTAGCGAAAAGCTCATGGTTGCATGCGGACGTCAGCCAGCTTGCAACGTCTACGTCCGAATGCATCTGGACGGTGTCATTTGTGCGGATTTCTGGTGGATAGTATAAATTTGGTAAATATATGAGTCCTAATGCATGTAGCCTGCTCTATATGCAGAGAAAAAAGCAGAGTCAGCGAGAATGGAATTAATGCATGAAAAATGAGCAGGGCGATAAGAATGAAAGGGCACATCAGACTGGGCTTATTAAGACAGAAAAGCCAGTGAAATTGCTGGGCTGACGCTGTGTATTTGTCAGGAAACATTAAAAAGACTGAAGGCTCCAAATTCATCTTCTGCTGCATTCCACTGAGCACTACGAGAACATATTCCACTTATCATACTACACAATACAAGAAAAGTACTGTACATTTGAGTGACCAGTAAAGGACATTTTGATTCATTAACAAATTGGATAACTTGATTATGTAGACTTACATGAATGAACCTTTTGACCCTTAAAAGTTGACTTATTCATTCTGTTTTATTATTCAAATTGTGTGATTACTTGATTAATTACACAGTTACATACTGAATTATATTTAGATTTGATTTTCATTCTTTCAACAGGCTTGAGTCTGCATGAAAAAAGTGGCAAAAATGCAGTGGATGTTTTTTTTTTTTTTCTTTCTGCCAAAACAAGACTGTACATGCAAAAAAACCAACCCATAATATCAACTGAAGGTTTAGAATTCACAATATTATCTCTACATATTTAAATGAACTGAGTGAGAAATACTGAATATGAAACTGCACCATGCTTGTTGGCAACATCTGTGGCGTCTAGGAGTTAAAGATGCAAAGTACAACATCGACAGATACAGTTCTTAGTGGAGTGTTTACTGCCAGAACCCACCCCCAGCACCCCCACCATTTCAAATTTGCACTTAACACCTTCCTGTTGCCGGCCTTCTCATTCATCAAGCGTGTTTGTCCCACTGACAAGCTCCGGACCGCCGGCTGAATATCAATATCTGATGAGACAACGGCAGCGCGAGCGGGCCCGCTAACCTTCAGCTAAATGTCATTCTGCTTAATCCTATTTGAAAATTAAACATTGAAAAAAGCTTCGGCATCTTCTCTTCCTCCTGCTACACACACTCTACCCCCCCGCGCTGTCGCTGCGCTGGCTTCAGCACGTCGCTGACATTTGTAAAGATTGTGTTTTCCTCGTGTTCTCTATTATTTGTTATTTGTTTGTTGCTCAGAAGTAATGACTGACCGGGGATGAGAGACTGAAACTACCCGAGTCTTTATTCCCGGACTGTGTGTTTGTGTGAATGAGAAGTGCTTGTGTGAATGTGTGTGTGTGTGTGTGTGTGTGTGTGTGGTGGGGATGGGTGTGCGTATATACGTGTGCATTTGTATGAGTGATAATGTCTGTGTATGCGTCTTTATTGTGTGCTTTTATGTGTGTGTGTGAATATAAGTATTTTCATTCTTTCAACACACATATTTGTATATATATATATATATATATATATATATATATATATATATATATTTATATATGTGTGTGTGTGTGTATATATATATATATATATATATGCCTTTCCACTGATGGATGCAGCCACTATGAAAGGTGTGTGGACAGCAGTGAAGAATGCATAGAAAGTTACATTCATAAGGTTACAAAACACCGACACACACTCCTAGTTGTTTATTTATTTTTTAGATGTTCATCAGTAATCATTACATCAAAAAATGTTTCAGTGATTCTTTATGACTGCCATTGTTAAAATGTGTGTGTGTGTATGTGTGTGTGTGTGTGTGTGAGGGCAATGCACTTGATCCTGACAGTCCATATCCACCAAGGCAATACTGAGATGTGTTGCTATGGGAAAAGATGTGAGAAAGAGAGAGCGAGACACACACACACACACTGATAGGAGGGCTGTTGCTGTCAGGTTCAGGCCCAGTGGCTCTGTTAAAGGGCCTGTGACAGGGAGAAAGAGACACAGCTCTGAGAGCAGACAGGCGAGAGAAGCCCCCATGCATCAAACACACATATTTACATAAACAAATCCTCCCCATATAGCCTGTAATTACCAGATTGACAGTGCCGGCCACGTGAAGAAAAAAAGAGCCTTGTCTGATCCAGACAGATACATAATGACCAAGGCAGAAGCTCCATCAAAGTGCACCTACACTGGGGGCAGCCTGCTTTTGTATGCATGCACTGCATCAGATGATAGGCCATGCCTTCCCTTTGAATATATGGAGTCCATACATCCTCTGAGGACACTGGATGGAGGGAACACATAAAACGACACATACAGAGTTTAGAAAATTCAATTATTCTACCATAAAATGGAGCTGGAATGACAACATACATAGTCAATGCAGTTCTGTAGAATGCAATGTACTTGAGTAAGCTGTGCCCTTATAGCACGTAGGATCTGATTACCATGTATCATGTGTAGTGCAACTGGTGACATTACTAGGATCTTGCGGGCTCCAGTGCAAAAATAAAGAGAAAAAAGAATGGGCTTCCCCATGTGAAAAAAGAGCATGTAATTTACTGGTTATCTTTAGCATGTCAAGTTTGTGCACTAATGTAAGCTGATAATTTAAGCATATTATTACAAACTACTGCCTCATTGGTGGCATTAGTATAGTGTAATATTATGTATAAGGTTCAAGTAATCCCAAACACGTTAGGTGATGTCTGAACTCTGGGGCGGTCAATTCCTTGATCTAAGAAAACCAGCAGCTTGTTTATTTGATTTGCAGATTTATATTTTATAAATATTTTCTTTTTTATTATATTTTTGTTTATGTCCATTTCACAATAACAGCTTCTTGAGAGTTACACATCTTTTCAGACTGATAGTTTTGTCTTCTCACAGTGGAAGGATGGACAGAAACACCTGTGATATTTTTCAGATCTGAAGCAAGAGTGGAGCTTGATTGTTGGTCCTGTGTTCTCTGTGTCTTTTTTCTTTTTATTTAACTTTAATTTTGGATACTCCTTATGCAGGTTGATTATTTTATATCTAATCTATCTAATAAATAGAGAACTTCCACTCAATGGACATTTTGTCTGGAAATAAATGAAGGGTGGCCTCTGACCTTTGCACAGGACTGTATATTTCAAGTGAGAATTATAGAAGAATGAGGTGCTTGTTGTTTGTTAAATATGTGAATAATCTAATACGTTCTGTTTCTGTCTCTCTGTATGTTTATGTGTTGCAGATGGGAGATGCAGGATGCTGCAGCACTTGAAGATGAAGAGAAGATTTTAGTGGATCAGTTAAAGAAAACGTTTTTAAACAGAGCTCCTGAATCTTAGAACGTTTGTTAAATAGTCTCTGTATGGCAAGCATGCTTTATGCTAGACATTTGTAGCAGCATGTGTAGCTTTGTATGTTTATGAACTGCTCCTTGCAGAGGATATTATCAAGAGAATTTTCTTTCCTGATTAAATTTAGTTTCTGACTTTTTTAATCTAAATATGTGATGTACATGTAAATAAATGTAAATAGCTTAGCTGTCACTATAGAAAGCCTACTTGTACTAAAGTGAACAGATAGCCTTTGTTTATTATATTTTTGTCTGCTTGTTTGAGTGTTTGTTTTATTTTATTGTTATATTTCTCTCTTTTTCCCCTTTCAATTATACATCATCTTTTAAATAAACTCTTTGATAAAAACCTTTGCAGTTTGTGATATAAGAATCGTCACCTATTATGGTCTCATATGGGGAGTGTTTTCTTCTAGTTTTCATGAAAAGCTGCTCATTTAAATGAAAGGGGAATTCCACGAGAGAGAGACAGAGAGAGAGCTCTCTGTCATAAATAGATTAAAAAATATTGTTTAGGTCAAAACCTCAGGCACTGTGTTCATTCCAGCTGTACATGCAGTAGTATTCTGTGATACAGCTTTTAGAGACATTAAACTTTTAGATCGTCTAGTTCCAATTACCACACAATTCTGACTAGCTTAGTTTATCTAGAGTGGAGCATTTCACCTCAAACCCATTTGTATGACTTTGTTTACATTTTATGATTTAATTATGCAGGTAAAAAAAATCGTTGGAATTCTCCTTTAAATAATAACATAAAAGAAAGCATTAAAATAAGGCATATAAATATTACTTTCCCACGCAGTCGCTCCACTGTAATAGAAAAAAAGGGACTGGCCGCGTTCCAAACGTCAGATCACTCTATAACAGGCATGTAGTGCACTATTTGGTTGTAGAACACAGATAGACTATGACGTAAGAGACTTTATTTAGCACCCTACATAGTGCACTATGTAGGGAGTAAGGAGGCGTTTGAGATGGAGCTCGGGGTTTCCGTTTCCGTCGCGGGTGTATGTGAAGTGAGGAGTGAGTGTGAGAGAAACCTCCACTGCTGATATGGTACGTGAACGAGAGCGAAAACGTTAGGAATATGTACATGTATAGCTGCCCACCGCCGAGTGTTTCTCTCTGGTGGGGTTTGGGCATCGTTTCTGCAAGAGACCGCTTGACTTGTTTGTTCAGGGTGAACACTGTTTACCAACAATGACACGAATCACCGATTAAAAACACTGGCTGGACTCCATGGACTGATTTGACAATGAGGGTAGCTAGTTAGCTAGTTAGCTCATTAGCTGGAGAAAGTCCCTGCTTTTTTCATTATTTTGACCGGGGCTGCTTGTTTTTGCTCCGAACATTTTGGAAAAAGAGGGGAATTATTTTGTAATTTGGCAGGAATGTGTGTGGATAGACATGTCGTCTCATCCTCAGCAGGCTACATGGCTAATCACAACTCACCACAGCTCTGTTTTGTAGTTGCTAGCTAGCTAACTGGACAGTTACCCTCGTAGACCTGAGTTTGGAAACATGTTTTTATTTAGTTACAGCAGTAAAAACAAAAAGCAGCAGAAGTTTTAGGGTAAACACAACTGTCAGACATGAAAATGTATTAGTTATTTAGCTGATAACCGAACAAGGAACTGAACTGCCATTAGTAAAAAGTTGACAGAGCAAGGACACAAATATGTGTTTCTGGTAAAATGTTTTGAATGCTTTTCTTGAGCATGCGGTGCTAAGACTAATGACCTCTCCAGCCATGTCACTGTTGAGCAGTAAAGGACAGTGATAGTTTAGGTGAACATTATACTCTCTGCAAACTAGCCTTAACTGCAGTGTGAGAAAAGGTTGTTAACTACAAACCAGTGTCACAAGAGTTTTGCCTTGACTTTCACCACGACTGCTGACTTATCAGTTTAAGGCTTCCAAGCCGATTCTATAACTCCTGTATATGTCTTGTTTATTTATTAATAATAGCATCTACTTCTCCAAAGCCATAAAACTGCTTTCCCCCTATTCTAAATCCCCTAACATTTTATTTGTCTTTTCCATATGCAGGTTACCCCACTGTGAGGTCTGTAAAGCAAAGGGCCCATGCTTGTCAAAGCTGACGTTTTTATATTTTATTTTGTGTGGATAACTATGGCTCAGCTATTGGCACAAGAGGAAAAGGAGAAAACTACAGCACTAAAAGGTAATCCATGTACAGGTTACATGCATGTTCATTTAAAGAAATTCAGTTATATGCGTCTGGCCCCTTGTCACATGTACACATTTCTAAAATATTTGAAATATTTTTAATGCACTAATTAGTTGCTGTTGCCTGGAATGGGTAAGCTTTGAGTGTGTAAATGTGATTATGCCTGTGCTGAAGAAGCCTGGCGAAAACCTGAGACACATTTTGCTTAATATGCATTTTGTGTTTTTATTCAGATTTGTTATCCAGGATAGATTTAGACGAGCTGATGAAGAAAGACGAACCTCCGCTCGTCTTCCCCGACACTTTGGAGGGGTTTGAATATGCTTTTAATGAAGGTAAGATACATTTCTCCAGCTCTCTTGGATTGAAATGATGGTGTGCTTTTCAAGCTAACCTCTATCTGCTGCATCTTCTATTATGCATAAGTATAAGTCAACAGCCTTTCTTTCTTTTCATAACCAGTGTTAAAATTATAAACTATAGGTGTTGTAGATAGAGATTAGATTGAAAACCCCTATTCCTTTAAAACACAGTGAGGTACAACAGATGCATTGTCAGGTCATGTTCAAATGCTTTTTTTTTTATAAATATGCTGAAGACCTTACTAACTTGGACCGAGCACTTTGAAGTGCATTATGCGCTTGTTAAACAAGTTGGTCACTCGCAGCATAAGGGGATGAGGGGACAGTGAGGAGCCCTCGGCTAGGTTAGCCTCAGTGAGCCAGCCAAACAGTTTTTGAGAAGTCTGACCATAATCTGTGAACATTTTATAAGTAATTGCTTTGTGTTTTGGTGTAGAAATGTTGTGTATTGCTTTTACTTATTTTACTTGCTTGCTGTGAAGCAGTCTTGTAACAGATGGAGTAGTTTGCCACTTAAAAACCAAGTTTGAACATAAGTAATCAGATGCTATGTTTTGAAATAGTAAGCATTTTAAAGTACTTTATTGCTGTGGCTTATAAACAGGTTTGTCTGCCATTTTTTGAGTTAAGAAAAGGAAATGCATCAGATTGCAGTGATTTCTGCACAAGTTCTGCTGCTGAAGTCAGCACTTATGTTTATTATTGCTATATTCTTGTTATGTAATTGATCCTATAGGGGGCGCACAACTAGGTGTGCCTAGTCAGTCCTGGAATTTGAACCCACAACCTTGCACTTGCCGGCTCACCTCTCCTAGAGTTATGAAACAGCCCTTAAGATGGCGTCAGGAACTCTCTTAGCAAGGCCGAGTGGACGGGGGCATGTTAAAACCAGTATTGAAATGGATGGTTAGGCTCTAGTTGTTACTACAGTGTGGTCCAAAGGTCTGAGACCACATGAAAAATCTGTTTTTTTTAAATAGACAACAAAAAGTTTTAGACTCTTGAAAATTTAAAACAAAAGGAAGTTATGACAATTAAAATGAAAAAAATTCTGCACTATTTCTAGGTCATTATTTAAATTTAAGCAAATTTGTAAAATTGACCATGTTTGAGCCTATGTACAAAAAAGGTCAGAATTTATTTATTTATTTATTTTCATTTTTTTTGTCGTATTCCTCCCACTGAAGCTCATGTTGAGATGAGGTAGATTTTATCTGCTCATCAGTGGCTTTTGCACAAACTTATGAAGTCTATGTCAGCTTGAGCGCATGCTGTCATTAAAGCAAAAGGGGGCATACAACATACTAAGGTTCTGAAAATCATGTAAACATTTAAATGTTCCACTTTTCACTCTAATTGTTATGCTAATAATATAATTTGCAGTGAAAAACTGTGTATTAAATCGAAAATCCAATACAGAGGCATTTTCACCAGCGGTCTCAGACTTTTGGACCCTACTGTTTGTTTTACCTGTTTTGTTGCCGGTTAATGAATTGCATCCCTAAACACTGACAGAGGAACATATAATAACTACAGTCCTAGGATTTTTACAGCACAGCCACATTTTACTGCAGTGGTCTGCTGTAAAATCAAGGCTACTTTGCGAACTAAAAATGATACGGTTTTTAATACCAAACGCAAACCGATCTCATGAACACTAGGGCTGAAAGATGAATGTTTTTATTTTGAAATTGCACTTTAAGTGCAGTTGTGACATTTCAAGAACTGCAATTTATTGAGATTATAATCTACATTTTCAGCAACATAGTCTTAAATTTTAAGTGGGTTAATTCAACATAAAAACACAGGGCATGTGAATTGCCTGTAGATGGGTTAGGCCAATCAGAGGCAACTAAACCTACATCACAACCACAATTTACTGGCATTTTGACACTCTACATTCAGGGTTCAAGCTTCAAGCCAGAAAAAGTAGATATTCTGGTCTTCTTGGCTAAAAAACACAGACTTTGATTTATATAAAATAATCACAGTTTAAATTGCAGTGGCGATATTAGTCAAAAAAATCACAGTTAGTTATTTTCCCCACATCATTCAGAGGAGATGGACATGGTAAATGTGTAACCATCTTACTGCTTTTGTAAAACTGACCATTTTGGATAATTAATTATAGTGTACTTTAGAGCACTTTAGTCTGCCCAAAGTTGTCTGTGAGGATGTTTGATTTGGCCCACTAGACAGTTACCCTAAGCCAGGGGTTGGCAACATTTTACTGCTGCTCTTTTACTACTTAAATAACATAATCCTATTTTGGGGTAAAATAAAGCTCTGCTGATCGTTCTAACAAGTTTCACAATTAATGGTCTTAAACGCTGGAGTTAATGTATAACTGCTAATTTACGCTTTAACCCTGAAGATTGGTGCGCAGACTGCTGGTCACCATAGCATCATAGTCGACAATTTCACCTAGCTAGTAACGAAAAAGCAAAGAGAACGATTTAAGAAGAACATTAATAATTTGGAGACGATTGGACTTATATGCGTTTATAAGCACTAGTTTCCTGATACGTTTAATCTGCAACTAGAAACTGTCAAACACTAAAAAGTCTTGAAGCTGAAGTCAGCTTCTTGTTGGAATTGTCCCGTTCCACCTTAAATGACGCAGCAGTTACATTCTGGCTCCTCAGGCACCATTTAAGGTGGAATGTTGAGAGAGATTTTACAAGAAGCTCTACTTTTGTGGAGACGTTTCCTGACTGAGATGCGAGAGAAGCAGCTATAGCTGAGCAAAAGCTTAAAGCAGACCAATGTAAGTCTGTGTTTTCATTCATTTGATATTTTTTAGCCTATACTAGTACATTAGCACATACTGAGACATTTACAGCCAAGATGGTAAAATGGACATAAAATGTTGTGGCTCTCAAGGTGGTTTGATTTTTGTTGAAAGCACAAAATGGTTCTGGTTGCGAACCCCTGCCCTAAGCACACTGCCTCAGACAATGAAAGTACATGTTTTTTACACTATATATAACTTAACAGAAGAGTGTATTTAATAACACAATTAAGGGAAATATTCTAAAAATTCTTTTTAAAATCTCAGTTTGTAAGCTACCTGCCTTTTTTGTTTGTAGGCTGATTTGTCTTTTTGGCCAAGTGTTGTACTTTGCCCACCAAGACAAAACTTTGTTGTAGTAGACTGATACTCTAGAGTGGCTCTACATGATTTGGTACTCTGAAGTATAAAGTCTAAGTAATCCAGGTACTTAAGGCAGCACAAGTGAGATATATTATGCGATTTTCATGCTATTGTGTCAAAATGCACCCACTCTATGAGGCCAGCAAAGATTCATTTTTTCGCTGAAGGGCTCTCTCTGTTTGCTTTGTTTGGATTCGATTCATTTAACATTTGGCTCTTGAGTCGATAATATGAAAGGAGCCTTTTCACAGACACTGAATTCTCTGACTTTTGAAAGCAGCGGTTTGTTTACATAACTCACAAGTTTTAGTAAACATGCTAATTACTGTATGTGAAAGCACGGCAGAGCTCTCAATAAAAAAGCGTTATGGAACAAGAACTATTATGACTGGCAGTAGTTAATATAGATACAGCAGTAGCGGAATTATGTAGCGTTGGCTGTTGATGCAGCCTTGCTAGCCTTTTTGCAGTGGGAAACAAAAGCATACTGTTCTCACTGAGCTCTCTGAATGAGGTCCAACCTGGCATGAAACCATATAGAAATGTCTTATGGTTAAAAATCAGACAATTTCTGCCTTTTTGCTATTGTATATATCACAAAGCCTCAATCTACCACAAGGCTATATGGAAAGATGGACGAAGTGAAAGTTTCCCGTTTATTGTGCGCTATAAGATGAAATGGAGCGCGAGTTGGCTGTTGACGGTGGGATTTTGGCTGTGATAGTGCTGTCTGTTTTGAGAGTCTCCTGAGTCACTGGCAGCTGAATGGACAAGTTGTGCATGCCATGGGCTGTCAGTGGCTTACTCAGCCTTGCACTCCGCTTGACGGCCACATTTGCATAACCTTGCTGCTCGCTCTAAAAGGCTCCTGTCGCTGCCTTGAATGCTTTATTTCAGTTTCTGAAAAGATACACCCGCTTATTTATTTATTTTTTATCCGTTCACTCTCTGTTTGAGACGTCATAATATGGCCCTTGCTACCTCAAATGAAAGCACCTTCGCCAAGGTCAACAGCCTTCATTTAGCCCTGAGTGCTAATTTGAGACCTTTTTTAGAATTTTTATGATCTAATGAACCAACCTATAAAATACATATGCATCTGCAAGAGAGAGAGGTTTTTGGAATCGCGCTGCATGATGGCTTCATCACAGTTAGCCTTCAGCTTGTTCATTACTGGAAATCCAAGGTTATGTACACCTAATTAAGCTAAAAAATTGAGAACAGCATGCTAATTACGCAAGGATGAAAAAAAGCATAGGGGAAAAAGTTGAGGAGGCATATTCCTCAGAGAGCCTGTGATGTGAGGGCGATGGAGCTGAACCTCCATCGCACACAGGCTTTCATTAGATCCCTCTCTTCCTTCTGTTAGGCACTGCTCTTCCTAGCGTTTTGCTTCACCCCTCTGCGAATGCATAATTGATTTCTGCAAGATACTTTTTTCCTTTGTGTGCTGTGTGCCACCATGTGCTCCCTCTATGTCTCTCACTCACTCTCACTCTCTCTCTCTCTCTCTCTCTCTATATATATATATATAATATATATATATGTATATTTATATTTATATATATTTTTTTTTATTCAGTAAGTATATGGAATTTGTGCTCTAAAATGTCAAAAAACTGTACATATATAATCATGCCTATGTGTGAATTTATTTTCAAAATAAATATTTCAAATTTTATTTTTGAAATGCCCTCAAAAAAAGTAGTTCAGTAGTAGCATCCAACAAAGTCTTAGCATATGCAGAACGTCTTCAGACCTGATGGAAAGCAGCTCATGAAGTTGCTTGAAAGAATATCTTGAACATATAAAGTTGATTTTTTTCCCCCAATAATTTAATTCTTATTCATTTTAACACAGGGGAAAAACAGACATAATCAAAAATATCAAATACAACAAAAAGTCCCCCTCCACTCTCCCCCAACGCATTCCCATCCCATCCCACCACGATATTGTGTACTTTTATTTAAAAAAAAATGTATAATTCACTGCGTAATTCCATATTATGTCGTACTTTATAATCTGATGGCTTCACTTTTAGTCTAAAATGAGTAAATTAGTAGGCTAAAAAAAAAGAAAAACCTTCTGTGAGTAGGTGTGTCTAAACTTTTGACTGATAGTGTGTGTGTGTGTGTGTGTGTGTGTGTGTGTGTGTATATATATATATATATATATATATATATATATATATATATATATAAATCTTACTTCATCTCCACACTCCAAGAAAAAAAAGAAAAGAAAATAGCAGGAGGAGTAGGCACAATTTTAGTGTCCCATCTTGATGAACAGCTTTTTAGTGCTACATGGTGTTGAACAGATAACGACGAAGGCAAATACAGTAATACTTATTGAGTTAGCCGTGTTGGATTTATCGCTTGCTAACCGTGCAAAAGTGCAGGGCTTTGAAAAACAGTCGCATAAAAATGCTTATGCAATCGTTTCTCTTCAAAGATGTTTTTCTCTCTTTTTTTTCTTTTTGCCGCGCTGGGGTAATTGAGAAAGTATGAGGCCCTTGGGCTGTTTGGGTTAAGTGTGTATGCTTTGAGTATTTTAGCTTTGTGCATTTGCAATCAGAGAGGTCACAATTAGATTTAACACTGTTTGGGGCTTCATTATCTGCTAGTGTCAACACAAGGATAGATGGGTCTATCTCTCAAGCACACAGTTTTCAGAAGTATTACACACCACTTGCTTTGCTTTGAAGTTGGTGCGTTCTCTCACAAGTGGATGTAATACTTTTGCTGAACTTTTAAAAGTGTTTTGCATTTCTAATGATGTTGAAATTTGGGAATGACTCTGTAACTGTGTTCCCCAGAAAGTCATCCCTTTGTGACGTGACAAAGGGTGCACAGCAGCATCATCAGTTGCCATATATACATTCACATCTTCATATCATTCTTTTACTTTTCTTAAACACTTTTTATTCAAGTTTGAGCCATTTTATATCATGTTTGAACAGAGAATGGCTGAATTGAAGTTTGTGTGTATTATTTTTATTTTTTGAAAAACACCTCACTGCTCTTGTGCATTAATGTTGGCAGTAAGTCAGTGACAGCTTACTTACACTTAGAGATGAAACAGTATGAAAATGTAATATGATTATAGTGAGCAAAATTGTCACTGTTATCAGTGTTATTGCGGTATTGTTTAAATGTGCTCCTAATGAAGTAAATTGGCACAACCTATAGCTTCTGCATTAATAGTAGTGCTGTGTGAACCAACCTCACTGCAAAGTTAATAACAAAACCTGCTAGAGACGACGCAGAGCAAGTGTGTTGTTATTGTTATTGAGTGAGGCTCTTGTAGTGTAATGCTGGACTATCACCTTTCAGTCCAGGCTGTCTTTGGGAATTGAGTGCATCACACAGGTACTTTGTCTCGTACAAATCAGCAAAGTCAGATGACTAAGTGCATTTGCATGCACTTAATAATCCGATAACTGCAGAAAATCAGATTTTGTCAGTAATCTGATCAACGTGTTGACATGCCCTTGGGTAATCAGATAATGGGAAAACTCTGGGTCTACATGAGTCAGACAGTAATCGGATTTCTGCTTTGCAACCAGCCAGTAAACTCTCAGAAGAAGACGTGACGCAAACGTAACGTAAAACTTTTAACATTGCGTCACTTTACCTGAAAACATGAACATACATCATCTAGAAGATGAAGAAAATTCAAATCCTTCATTTGGTCAACCATGTAGTTGGTTTCAGTGTCGTTCCAAAAGTGTTTTGCTGCCATCTCACGGAAATGCTGCTTGCTTATTTCCGGTACGGTGGCCTGTTTTCACATGTGCAGACTGAGAAATCCGAAGGAAATTCAAGTAAAAGTATACATGCACTGAGAAATCTGATTACTGAGCTAAAATCCAGCTCTCGTTATCAAATTTCTTTATCTGATTTCTTTATCGGATTTCTAGACCTTACTCAAAATCTAAGAAATAGGAGAATGCTGTTTACATGACCATTTGAATAATCAGATAACTGCAGAAATCTGATTATGGGCTATGTTAACACACTCACTTACAAATTAAATTCCAGTACCTCCTCTGATGAAAACTACACTCTTAAAAATAAAGGTCCCTAAATGGTGCTTATGTTGGACGTATCATTCTAGGAAAACGTTTTAATTCAAGTAGAAATTGTCTAAACATTGAAAAAAGTTGTTCACGCTCCTTTCATTTACAAAAATGATTCTTTAAAGAACTGTTTTTAGAATTCTTTAAAGTGTTGCTCCATAGAACCTTAATCATCACCTAATCATATTGCAATTCGTAATTTTATAATAAATAGTGCTTTAGGCTTATCTTGGTACATTCATCTGCAGTGGAACAGTGATCAGTTATTATTAAAAGTGTGGTTGTTTACCTCCAAGCCTCCACACCAACTCAGCAGCTGTTTAGCGACCTCTGTGCTCAGTCAGACACTCACCGTATTGTCTGGCCTTGGCTTAGCTGGAGACTGGTCAGTGTGTGTGAAGTTCTCTGGCCTCTGCTCCAGCCAGCATCTCAAAGGCCTCTCGTAGGAGGAGAACAGTTGTGGTGGTCCAGCCACACACACGCTCACTCACACACACATAAACACTCGCTAAGGGCTCTCAGGTGGGTGGGGTACAGAGGCAGAGAGAGAGAGTGAGAGAGAGAGGGGTGAGAGAAGGCCTCCAGCACCAGCTGTCTGAGGCAGGCGTGCCAGACGTCCCAGAAGGCCGCGGGAATAGTGACTGGAGCAGCATTAGCCGTCCACGGGCCGTGTACCTGCCAGATGGGGGGGCACCAGCCAAACACATTTAATTGCATGAAGGGGAGAAAGATGCTCATGAATCTGGCCCAGAGTTCTCAACTGAAGGTTCCAGCTAGTTTCACTGATTTTAGGCCAGAGCACACAACCTGACAAACACCAGCATTCTGATGTTGGCAGTCGATTTAGAATACTTAGCAGAACAAATGAACCAAATGAACCAGTGTGAATGGGAGAACATTCTAACACAGTGTGAATGGAGGAGAACTATCTAGAGCAGTGTGAATGAGGAAGAACTTTCTAGACCAGTATGAATGGAGGAGAAAATTGTAGAGGAGTGTAAATAGGGCAGGGCATTCTAGATGAGTTTGAATAGGGGTGAATTCTCTAGGACAGCATCAGGTAGAACATTTTAGAACAATGTGAACAAAGTAGAACATTCTACAAAAGTGCAGATGGGGAAGAACATTCCATGCCTGTGTGAATGGAGGAGAACATTCTAGAACTGCATGAGTAGGGCAGGACATTCTAGAATAGCGTAAATAGCGGAGAACACTGCAGGACAGCATAAATTAGGGAAAACACTTTGGAACAGAGTGAACTGGATAGTGTGAATAGGAGGAGAACATTCTAGAACAGTGTAGGTGGAGGACGACACTCTTAACACGGATGAATTGATGAATAACATTCTAGAACAGAGTCAAAGGTGAGAACTTTAAACAGTGTGAATGGTCTAGAACCTTCTATGGGAGGACATCATTCATGGACAGTGTAAATGGGGGATAACATCTAGAACTGGTTGTGAAGATTCTATGGGAGGGGAAAAACATTCTAGATGTGTGCATGGAGAGAGCGTTCTAGGTTAGTGTTAGCAGTTGTGGTACTGTTTCTTTACTTAAGTTGCTGCGTTTCTCATTCCTGTTTTTTCAGCAATTTAGTTGTCTATTTAATTTTATTTCATATGTAATTTGTTGCTTTAGTAGCCTGTGCATACTTTTTAATACTTTTTGGAAATGAAAAATGGCTCAGTGGTAAGCGGCTCAAGTACCTACAACACTTCCATGTTTAACCAATTGATGTACAAGTTAAAATACCACATAACCTGTTGTGATTGGCCTAGTGATGAAATTGATGAAAGTGATGAAAATTTTTCATAATTTTACCTTGGATGAGCATACAACATTACCCATCTGAAACATTTTGATTACGTGATATTGTAATACTTATACAGTTGGGTTTGGATTTTCTGTTGTTTTGTTGAACTCAATAGTCCCTTGTGATTAAAATACTAGATTTAATGTAATGATGAATTTTCTTTAGCTATGTGGTTTGATCGATTTGAGATTTTTTTCTGATTTATTTCTCAGGCAAGCTCAGAGGACACATGAACCAAAAGACACTTAAAAAATTTAGATATATACATCAATGGGTTAACCTATAAAAGTCTTTGTATGTAGTTAATTACATATAAGTGTGGTAATTAACTACATAATTGTGTAATTACATTTACTTTGGATTTGCGTTATATATTCATACATTTGAATTTGTACTTGCTTTAATGTCAGAAAATGACTGAATGTGGCAAAAATCAGACAAAAAAAGGACATTTTTTCTTTCCACAGAACAATCAACATACAAACACATCAGTAACTTTTTTTTTATCAAATTCAAGTTATAATAAAAGATCTTGTTTTGTACTTATAAAACACAAATATGGTGTCGTTTGAAAGTTTAGGATCACTTTTGCTTCTGCTTTTGCACTCTGCTTCTGTCAACGAGCTATGAGTGAGAAACAATGAAACAAATTTCAAGGTGTGTACTACATGGGGTACCTAGCAGGACATGTAGTGTTAATTAGTGCACTTCTCTCTGTAGATGGTCAGCTGCGACACACTACAACAGGAGAGCCATTTGTCTTCAACTACAAGGAGGATCTGCACAGGTGGAACCAGAAAAGATATGAAGCACTGGGAGAGGTAATTTTCACCTTTGCTGTATTTCTTACAACAACGTTTTGTACGATTTTAATCGCTTCTTAATTAGTCACACAGTTTATCCGTGTAAGACGCTCAGATGTGTTTCATATTCTCTCCCCGTTTTAGACGTGGTAGTTAACAAATAAGGGAGGAAAAATGTTGAGTGTGAATATATTATTAGATGAAAAAAGGGTGGTGGTAGTGTGGACTATTAGTGGGGAACTTTGATGATGATTTTGATGCATCTCTGTTTCCCAGGTTTAATAACTTTGTAATTGGATTCTGTGCAGTAATTGGAACCGCTCTCCGGAACACTGCAGACACACACACACACACACACACAATAGAATGACTCTAATAAACTCACACAATCTTACCCTTTACCATTTCCCTCTTTTTAATCCCCTCTCTCTCTTTCTCTCACTCTCTCTCTCTGTCTCTCTGTTTCTCTTCTTTTCTCTCTTTCTCTCCCTTTCTCTTTTATTCTTACTTTCTCTCTCACACATTCTTTCTCTCTGTTTTTTCCTTATCTTCTCTCTCACCCTCTTTCTCTTTTTTAAACTCTGTCTTTGTGTCACTATCTCTCTCGCTCTTTTGCATTTTCTTACTTTCTCTCTTTTTTGTCTATTCATGTCTCACTTTCTCTCTTTTTCTCTCTTCATCTTTTTCTCACTCTTTTGTTCTTATCTTGTCCTTGTTCTCTCTCGCTTTCTCTCTCTTTTCTCTGTCTCTCTTACATTTTCCCTCTTGCTGTCTTCTTCTGTCACATTCTCTCTGTCTCTCTCTCTCTCCCTCTCTCTCTCACTGTCATCTTACTTTCTTTCATTGTCTTTTCCACACCTCTTTCTGTTTCTCTTATCTTTTTTGGTGTAACTCTCTCATTTTCTCTCTCTCTTTCTCCTTCTGTTACTTGTTCACTCACCCTCTCTTTTTTCTGTTTTTGGTCACAATTTCTCCCTCCACCTCGCTCTCACACTTTCTTACTCTTACTGTCACTCACTCACTTCCCCCCTTCTTTTTGTCTTCCTCTCTTTACTTTGTCTTCTTACTTACTGTATGTCTCCCTCTTTCTCTCTCTCTCTCTCTCTCTCTCTCTTTCTCTCTAACTCTCTCACTCTCACTTACTCACTCACTCACTTATCCCTCACTCTTTCTTTTTCTCTTTCTCTCATTTCTCCATCTGTCTTTTCTCAGTTTCTGTCTCTCTTTCTCTTGCTGTCACTTGCACTCCCACTGTCTTTCTCCCTCTCACTGTCTGTCCACTCATTTACTTACTTAGTTAGTCATTAACTGCTCTGTCTACAGTTTTCTTTATAAGCTCAGTAAGGTAAAAAGCTCTACCGGCTTCTACAAACTCTTACTGAACTTTAACTGTCTTTCCTGCATGCCGTATGACTCAAATGTATGCAGCACTATAGAGTGAGGGTAAATTAGGAGAAAATGTCTGTGTGTGTATGTACTGGTGTCGTGTTTCTCTTGATTCGGCTCTGCTTTGCTGTGATTTACAGTCATCTCTTCTCTTGTGCTTACACCTTCATGCTTAAACAAGCGTTAATCCTCTGTACCCCTTGCCTCATGTAGGCCCAGTGGGTGTGTATGTATGTGTGTTTCTGAACTGTCTTAGGATAAGTGATGTTTTTTTTTAATTTGACATCTACATGATCCAAACTCTGTTAGAGTGATCCACATTCAGGATAACTGTAGTGGACAGCAGTGTGATCAGCTTCATTTTTGGGAAATGGACACTTCACCTTTGTATGTGGCCTGCCTGTGTTAGGCACCTTGCACAAGTTCAGATGGCGTTCATTCAGTCCCAGTGCATGCAATATGCATAAGCTAATCAGAAGAGTGTGTGTTTGCTTGCTTAATTATCTTTGTTCATTTGCTTCTGTGTTATTTGGCTTTAATTGTTCTGCTTATTCTTTTGAAGTTCAAAGAAAAGCGAATGACTTGTTTAGGATTACCTATGTGTGTTTTATGTATTTTATGTCTAATCCAGGTATGCTCCTCAGAGAAATAGCCCTTTGTAAAGTCTGCCTCTTGCACATTTCACTTTCTCAGCTGTGTGCATCAGAAACCAGCACAAAGCAGCACGTTTGGGTACTTTATGAACTCGTGAACTTTCTGTTTGTTAGATTTGTTTAAAGTTTAAAGCCAGAGACACAAACATGCCAAGTCAGTCCATTCAGAGTGCTAATTAGTACTAAGTGATATATCATCTATTCCAGTATACCAATATTAATGCAACACACTATTAATTTTTGGCTTTAATGATATTAGTAGTAGTTTCTCATTACAATTTACTAATTACTTCTCAAGTAAAACTGTAATGAGACAGATTACTTCCTCAACAAAGTAATCTTATTACTCAAGTTACTCTGTAAAACCCGTGCAACTGGAAAGTACAAAGGAAAACCCAGTAGTCCTTTTCAGTAGCAATGCGGCAACATGGGATTTGTGGACTGAAGCCGATATGTGATATTTTTCATGTACATTCTTGCTGATGCTAATACATAAGTATGTTTAAAATGTAAAAATTAAGATAATAATAGTAAGTAAGTTTAATTTATATAGCGCCTTTCTAAAACCTGTGGTCACTTTGTAATTTTGACAGTAGACATACAGGAACACAAATGAACTGTAGTATAAAAAACACATACACCCATACACAATAGTCCCTCCGCTGGTGAGAAAAAGTTCCTCAACAGAGATTTTTACTTGTTAGTATGGAGGTAGTGTCCCAAATGATCTGCTCTGTTGTAGTACAACAGCGTCATCAAAAAAATTGGTTAAATTTAATATAGGTTTGATGGCATTATTTTTAAGCAGTTATCTGCCAGTATCTGAACTGAACAGGAATGGCTAGTGCTATTTGAAAGCTCTTGTAAAACAGATGCTTTGAAATCTTTATGAATTGAACAGAGCTGTTTCTGAATGAAAATTACATGCAGGGACAGGATCAGATAGAAAATATTGATATTTTAACTGCATTGCATTTGATTTAATGTTGTCTCTTAGCAAACAAGTAATACAAGTAGTAAATTCTTATTAAGTGATTAAAGGTACTGTGTCACACTACTTTGTTACAGGAAAAGTAGTTACATTACTACAGCACGCTACTTTGTACCGTGTTACCCCCAATTGCAGAAAACTAATATTATAGTGCATATTATTAAATATCAAAATTAGTTGGAATGTACATCCCTAGTTGTGGCTATCAATATTGTCAGTACTTATCAAACCTCAGAAAACTGATATTGTAATGTATATTATGAAAATGTGTTGTAGTGTCCTGTGTTATGTTATATTTATTGCCCTATCAGGCTTAAACCTGCTATCATAGTTTTTATTAGTTAATTCAGGCTGACTTGTTAATGTTGCTTAGGCACCAGTTTTGTTTTTCTAGCTAATGATGCTGCTTAGGTAACACATTTGTTCTTCTTGCTAATGATTGTAGCTAGCTTGCCTAACTAACTAGCTAGCTAAAAGTAATAATAGTCCAACAATTGTTCAACCACTGTCGTTCTGTGTTAAGCCCATTAACTATTGTCATGAAGTCCAATGACCATAACCCAGAACCCTGAAAGAAAGTGGAGAAGGGTGGCATTTTAAGGGTTGTTAGCTTTTAGCCCTGTAAACATGACGTTTTTATAGAGTAGCGATACTAAGAAAAATAATGAGTTTGTTAATTAATGCAAAAGTATGATCTGATATGATACTGTGATAAATTAGAAAAATCCTGTGATATTGAATTTTATTAGTAGCGTCCAGCACTACACAAACATGATACGTCAATCCATTCAGAGTGCTGATGAATTGGTTTAGCATGATTGGACAGTTTGGTCATACTCAGGTCGTGTTCAGCTGTTATTAAGTTATGAAGCTGCTGTTCAGAGTGGAATAGTGGAGTTCATCTCCATCTCAGAGAGGCTGCGCTAACGTAGCCTAGCCCCAGGCAAACTTGCATGAATGTAGTCATATATGTATTCATTTAACATATAGAGTAGGAACACTTATGGGTCACTAAGTTCTTCACAATCTTCAAGTTTCCACACGCAGAGAGACTGTCAGTCAATTTCTTATATGACCCATATAGTGCCCTTGAATTCCTCATAACCGCGTGTCCGGGCGTAAAGGTGTGGAGAGGGAAATTGCTCAGTTTGTGCGGCCGCCGCTGCTTCTGGAGGTGTGTGAATGGCTGTGTGAGTGCAGCTCTGCGCTTTCTCTCGCCTTCGTCTGTGTGAACAACAGGCCGCTGGTGTGCGAGAGAGTGGGCGAGAGGGCCTTTGTGAGGACGCACGCAGTAGCAGATGTCCAATTTGCACTTCAGCCTGCTATGAATGAGGAGCTGGTCTGCAGGTTCACACACAGGCACACACACAGAAACGTACGCACATATATGCAGCTGGGTCTGGGCACTGAGGTCAAGGTGCTGGATTTGATGAGACTGCATATGCATTTTCGTAGCCTGCTGATGGTATGTTGATAAGGTTTAATAGAAAGTGACCAGTCAAATCATCAGTTCTGTAATTCCTCTCTTTTTGCATATCGCTAATTGCATTTAGGACCATTGTTTTCCATGGTTTATGTTTGTAGTTCAGTATGCTTCTTCATATGTTTCTAATAGGCCTATATTTGTGTATGTCTTTCAAGAGCAGCACCTCTTTGTCATGTTTTTGTTTGTTCACTTATGAAAAACGCTGAAATCACTCCTTACATCTGTGTTACGTTTCATCATGTGGATACAACAATTCAGTGAAAAAGGATGGTTTTGCTCATATTTATGAGTTAGTATGTTAGTACTTTAATATTCATAACATAAGGTTATATAAAGGTGCAAATATGTACTTTTCACCTGGAAAAAAAAGAGTTTATGGTACACAATTGGACCTTAAAACCACTGTGGTACCTTTGAATGAGTGGGGCTAAACTGCTGAATAGGCAGATTGTAACATCACAAAAACAACTAATTCCAAATGGGCTGGATTAGCAGTTTAGTG